TCAGGCAAAAAGCATGTGTTAAACTTCTGCTAGACTGAAATCACCATTTTTTAAAAAAATTTTGAAAAAGCAGCAGTCAGGAATGAAAAGAAACCCCTCAACTGTGGCTTATATTTCTTCTAGCAATGCAGGGCTGTCCACAGGGAGGGGTCAACAAAGTCAAGAGGGTGGCCCCAACCATGAGATCATCAAAGCCCTTTTTAAGAGGGCCATGGGGGGCTTTTCCGGACATTTCTGGACTGAAACCTACCTGAATGGTCATCCTAGGCTGATTTTCACCTGGAAAATATCTGATCAAGTTGCCCACACTTGAATTTGCCCACAACTCCGTTTGAATTTCCCCCCTTAGAAGCTCTCACCTATAGACAACTTCGGGGGGGGCATGATGTTGTGTCACATTGCAATGTCACAAAGGGGTGGAGGCACTGGGACATTGCCACATACATGTCACTGTTTTGGTGTGATACTGGTTAGAAACAGATGCCTTTGCTCCCAGCCCTCCTAGAAAATTCCTTCTTGGTTGATGTCTTCAAAGCGTGGCTGGAAAATAAAAGCTGGACCCTGATGAGGAATCCTAGGGAATGGGTTTGTAAGCTCCTCGGAAATTAAGTATCCTATTACATTTGGGTAGATAAGTCTGGGAAGTTTTATTTAGGGACTTGATTGATTGATTGATTGATTGATTGATTGATTGATTTCTTTCTTTCTTTCTTTCTTTCTTTCTTTCTTTCTTTCTTTCTTTCTTTCTTTCTTTCTTAAGTGTTCTACATTCAAAACAGGCATTGATGTAATCTTTCTGCCTAGCCTGCAGAGTGAGATTTCACATATGCTAGATGATTGAGTGTATACATTCATCTGCTTCTTAAGGAGAGAACAAGAACGTTCTGGAAAGAGCCCTGTCTTCCTTGACCTTGGCAACTTTAAGACGCGTGGACATCAACTCCCAGAATTCCCCAGCCAGCATAATAAAAGTAGTATTAGCATTCATGACTTTGGTTTCCTCGTCTGGTGTACTGTGAAGGGCTCACAGGTTCTCACATCCTTTGTCATCAAAGTCCTGAATGCTAATACTACTTTTATTCCAAGGTTACAACAATAGAATTTTGCAAGTCTGAATACGCTCCCCCCACCCCCACCCACACCTTTTATCTTCGTGAGAACTAGGGAGGGTCCTGTCTGAGATGTTTTCTCAAATTACATTTCTGCCCCAGACTCAGATTTTTTTTAATCTAACCATTGTCTTGGTTGTGGCTCTTCCTCCTGCTCCTCAAGATCATTCCTTCTGCCCATTACAGAACTTCACCTGACTCATAAGTTTGGAGGTGCAGTCACTCAGGGTTGTCTTAGAGAGAAATGGGAATAAAAAACAGAGGGGAGAGCCATTTTCTGTGTTCTCCCCCCTCATGTGTAGGGCATTTGCAGTTTGAGAACACTTGAATCTGGCTAGCTTCTTTGGGAAGAGTCAGATACTGGAATCTTACATTTCTTCCTTTTATGTTGTCATAACAACTCGAGGGAGAGGATAACCTCCATAAAATAATGATTATCCTTATTTTATTTTTGGAAAGTAGTTGTCAAGGTAACAGAGGATGGCTTTTTTTAAAAAAAGTACAAAATTAGTCAACATTTAGAGGTTACATTTCTAAGGATTATTTTTGGAATAACATCCTGGTTCTGCAACCCTTTGCCTCCTGTTGGAGGAAGATCTCCATCCCTGGCAGAATTTATGGAGTAGAGCTAGATGATTAGAAGGAACTTTATGTTCTGAGGATCCATAAAATGTGACAGCCGGAAGCATCTTGATAATCAAGGCTCTCTGTGGAAGGAGGCAAAAAATTCAAGGGAGCATCCCCGCCCATTTTTAACAAGTGTTGCAGACAAAAAAGCACAATCATGGCTACCATTTTGGCTTTGAGGTGCTGCTGCTGATAATCACATGTTTTAGGGCATAGTCCAAGTGACTGCAAATGGTAAGGGTTGCACTTCTAGAGGACAACTGGCTTCTTTTCCAAAGTTTCTTTTTCTTTTTTCCTTCATAAAAGAAAAGTCTGGAGAACAGAAACAGGTGCAATTACACTAACATTGGCCCCTTTCAGTCGTATCCTCCTCGCCCATCACTGATGGAGATCATCTGTCTGGATCAGGTGATGCTTCTTGAAGGTAGCTGTTTTCTATGCATGGAGAGAATGAGAAGAAAAATGGACGGGCAGTGCTAATGCCTCCTCCCTTGTTCGTGGATCCACCACACATTTAGAATGCTTGTATAGTGTCCTTCCTGTTTGGAAGAGTCATAAACTAGGATCTTGCATCTTTTCTGTTGTCATAACAACTCGGAGGATAAACCACATGTACATTTTGCATGCAACTGTTATCACATGGATGGGATAAAACGCTCATGGAAATATGCCCCAGAGGGAATATGGGAATTAGAGATTAGCTCTGTACTGAAATGCCATGGCTTTGCTCTTGTATGATGAGTGTTCCTTGCCCTTGACAATACCTGGCCATATGTTGCTTAGTACCAATAACAGGAACAAAGGATTAACCTTTTTTTTAAAAAGTAGCTAATTGAAGTTGCATTTTTGCTAGAAGATTCAAAACCTTAAGATTCTCTTTTCCTAAACATATTCCAAGGATTAATGAAGAAGCTGGTTACACATTGTATTTTTGAAATGCAGTGTGTAAATTACCTCTTCATTAACTCTTATCACAGCCATCAAGAAGTGAGCAAAAGAGTAAGTTGGAATCTGCTTAGGAAAAAATAATCTTAAAGGTTTTGAATCTTCTAGCAAAAATGCAGCCTTGTGTGAAAGCAAAAACATGCTGGCTCTTTTTGGATGAATAAGACTATTAAGGCTAATACTTGGTTATTAGGTTTATATCTCACTTTTCCTCTAAAGCTACACATTGCTATCTCTTTGTGCTGCTTTTTGGCCTCACCGGAACCTCGTGATGTAAGTAGAAATCAAAGTCACAGCTGAGTAGAGTTTGAAACTTGGTCTCTCACATCCAACATCCTGAACACTATAAAAGGTTGCTTCACTTCCCTCTTTGCTCTCCCTTCCTTCAAACAAGTATCACAGATATACTATTAGATTCTACTACTGTCTTGTGGAAAGCTTAACCTTATGGAAAGTTGGCAGTTACTTTGGAAGTGTGTGAAAATGTGGATTTCAAAGGACCTGAGAATACTGTGGACAGCCAAGAAGACAAAAAAATGTATCACTGCCAGAGTTCTCACCCAAGGCACATATGACCAGGCTCAAATTATCCTACTTCAAACTCCTTATGTGAAGATCTACCTCTCTGGAGAAGGCCCTAATGCTGGGAATGGTGGAAGGAAAGAGAAGAAGATGTCCAGCAGCAAGGTGGATGGAGTCGGTTACAGTGGCGATAGGGGCACCATTGGAAGACCTGAAAGACCAGGTTAGGAACAGATCATCATGGAGAATATCTATT